AAAAGGAAGCCCAGGCACTGTAGCACATTCCTATAATCTCAGTGACTCAGAGGCAATGGGAGGAGCATAACAAGTTTGAGGTTAGCCTGGGCAATTTAGTGAGACCATGTCCCACCCCCTTTCTCCCCAAAAAAGTGGGTATGTAACTTAGTAGGAGTTTGCCTAGCATGTGTGAGGCCCTAGGTTCAATCCACAGCAGAAAAACAAAAATTCAGAAATCCCTTTATACTCTTAAAAAAGTTTTAAGGATCTCAAAGGGATCTTGCTTATGCACATTTTATTTAATAATATTTATTATATAAAAAGTTAAAATGGACCTGGGCATTATGACCCATGCCTGTAATTCCAGTGACTCAGGAGGCTGAGACAGGAGGATGGCAAGTTCAAAGCCAGCCTTGGCAGCTTAGTGAGGCCCTGTCTCAAAAATAAAAAGGGCCAGGGATATGGTTCAATCTCTGGTACCAAAACAAACAACAACAAAACAAAACAAAGCAAAACAAACTTCCAGCCAACCAAATAGAATAACAGCACACCCATTACATATTTTTATAAATAACTTGAAAAAAATTTTTTGCCGTATCAGAAACTGAACCCAGTGATGCTCTACCACTGAGCTATATCTCTAGCCCTTTTAACTTTTTAATTTGAGACAGGGTGTGGCTAAATTGTTCAGTCTGGCTTTGAACTTGCAATCTTCCTGCCTCACTCTACTGAGGCTGGAGTTATGGTTTTCAGGCAATAAATAACACCTGGCAATAAATAATATTTTTAAAAGAAAAATAACAGCCAGGTGCAGTGGCACACACCTGTAATCTCAGAGGTTTGGGAGGCTGAGTCAGAAGGTTTGCAAGTTAAAAGCCAGCTTCAGCAACTTAGAGAGGCCCTAAGAAACTCAGTGAGACCCTGTCTCTAAATAAAATATAAAAAAGGGCTGGGGATGTACCTCAGTAGTTCAAAGCCCCTGAGTTCAATCCTTGGTACAAAAAAAAAGAAAGAAAGAAAAAGAAAACAAACAATGTTTTCTAAAACAAAATTCAGGGTGAAGTGTTATTATTTTGCATTTTGCAAATCTCTTTAATGTCTCACTTAATGTAAGACAGCTTGATTCTCATATCTGCTTCCACATTCCCTGTGATGCCCTATTATACATTATGTAGGCTGTGGAACACTCTATTCTACACTCATGAGAGAATGGGAATGGAAAAGGCAAATGATATTTTAGTATTATTATGAAAATATCTTTTACTTCATTACTCCCTGAGAAGGTCTCAGGGGTCCCCTGAGTATACTTTGAGAACCATTACTGTAACATTTATAGTTTAGAAGGCATCATCAAAAGAGACTAAGAAGCAAAGCCAATGAGGATGGAGGGAAATCACAAGAGCCTGGTGCTCTGAAGGCCCCATGAGGAAAGTGTTTTGAGGAAGACAGTGACCAATTGCTGCTGATTATATAAGACCATGAAGGAAAGAGGTTGATCATTGTGGTTGGCAACTGGAGGCCATCAGGGACCTTGATAACAGCAGCTTTGGTGGAGAGGTGGGTGCTAATGCCTGCCTAGAGTATGTCACAACATGAAGGTTACTTCCTTAGGTTACTGAATCCCAGATTGGGTTTTTTTTTTTTTTTCCCTTACCCTACTTGTATCTCTCCCCTCTCCTCATACTTGCTCTTCGTTTTTATGGTTTATCCCATGTTTATAAAAAATTATCTCTATTATTATTATTATTATTGGCAGTACTGGGATTGAACTCAAAGCTTTGTACATGTTAGGCAAGTGCTCTACCACTGAGTTACATCCCTAACTGCCCTCTTCCCCACTTTTTAAATTTTGAGATAGGATCATGCTAGGTTGTCCTGGATGGTCTATGTGAAATCTTTCCTCAGCTTCCTGAGTGACCAAGCCCATCTTATCATTTCATTTTAAGTAGCCTGAAAACAGGATGAAGCCAGTTTTAATCAGGTTTTTATTTGTATCCTCATCACATAGCAACTACCTAGGATATAATGCACAAGTTTTCCCTAGTAAGATTTTAGAGTTTCTCAGTGGGGAACTGACTCTCCTCAGATTAAGCCACACTGAATCTCTTATAATTCTATCACCTGACCCTGTTTTTCTCAAAATAAACCCTGTACTTTCATCTTTAGGGCCCCATGCTTGCTTTAATGCTCTGCTGTTGCTGTCTTGAAATTGTTGAAAAATTTGAACGAGAGGCCTTGCAAATAAAGTAGTTAGTCCTGAGTGAAGCAATGAATATACAAAGTAATGAAGCATAATTCTTTTTAAAAAATATTTATTCTTAAGTTTTAGGTGGACACAATATCTTTATTTTACATTTATGTGGTGCTGAGGATCGAACCCAGTGCCTCGTGCATGCTAGGTGAGCACCTACCTCTGAGCCACAAACCCAGCCCGAAGCATAATTCTTTAACTTTTTTTTAGTGGTGCTGGGGATTAAACCCAGGGCCTTATTCATGTGAGGCAAGCACTCCATCAACCGAGCTCTTCCCTAGCCCTTAACTTTATTTCTTGTACTTCAAAATATTTATTGATTATTGTGTTCTGATGTAGCCAGGAAGAGGAGGGGGGAAGCATAACCACTTTAGGAAGAGGGAACTACAGAAGCAAAGACCCTAAACTAGCAACAGAATGGGGGTAGAGCTAGACAATAATGGCCTTATCAAAGTTTATCTTTCAAAAAAAAAAGGGGGGGGATTCACTTCCTACTTCATGGTCCTATTGCCTTTTTTCAGCACTTTTCTTTCTCTTCCTCTTCTGGGGATTCAACACAAAGCACTCTACCAATGAATTATATCCCCAATTCCTTGTCAAATAAAATTTGACACAGGATCTCACTATGTTTCTTGGAATGGGTGAACTTCCTGCCTCAGCCTCCCACCTCAGTGGCTGGGAATATAGGAGAGTGCCACTAAGCCTGGCCAATCAGCACTTTTTTTTTTTTTTTTCTTTTAGTACCAGGGATTAACCTAGTGGCTCTTACCTACTGAGCCAAGCCACATCCCCAGCCCCTCCTCCCCTTTTTTTATACCTTTATTTTATTTATTTTTATATGGTGCTGAGGATTGAACCCAGGGCCTCACACATTCTAAGTGAGCACTCTACTGCTGAGCCACAACTCCAGGCTCCTCAACTCCTAGGCTTTTTTATATTTTATTTTGAGACAGGGTCTCCCTAAATTGCTGAGGTTGCCTTTTGAATCTGTGATCCTCCTGCTTCAGCCTCCTGAGAGGCTGGAATTGCAGGTGTGGGTCACTGTGCCAGGCTCAGCATCTTTAACTAGCACAAACTCATAGGCTTTAAATTACAGTGGGCAGTGGATTGTGGTGGTGCACACTTTTAATCCCAGTGATTCAGGAGTCTGAGGCAGGAGAACATCAAGTTTGAGATCAGCCTCAGCAATATAGCTAGACATTGTTTCAAAAGAAAAAATAAAAAGGGCTGGGCGCAGTGGTGCACGCCTGTAATCCCAGCAGCTAGGGAGGCTGAGGCAGGAGGATCGCCAAGCTCAAAGCCAGCCTCAGCAAAAGCCAGGCGTTAAGCAACTCAGTGAGATCCTGTCTCTAAATAAAATATAAAGTAGGGCTGGGAATGTGGCTCAGTGGTTGAGTGCCCCTGAGTTCAATCCCTGTCACCTCCTCCAAAAATAAATAAATAAAAGGGCTGGGGATATAGCTCAGTACCAAAGCTCCCCTGGGTTCAATCCTTATTACCTGGGGGTGGAAAAATCACAGTGGGCACATTTACCCACAGATGTTCTCTGGGCAAAGGGAGATTTGAGTAGAGGGTAAACTCTAAAACCCTGCTCAGCGCTCAGTGCAAAGACAGCTATGGATATTGTTATCTTGCATTAATTTGGATATAAAAGCCAATACTAAAATCGGTCTTATGTATCATTCCTTGATACAGGAGAAACACCATTAGGACTTTTTTTTTTTATACCAGGCTGATACTAAGTCCCTAAGGTATATATGTATAGACATATATATTTATTTGTCTTGTTTTGTTTTTAAGTATTCACCAATATGTTAAAGAAGGGTGTCAATAAAATTCCTTAAGTGATCAGAAGGATAGGGATGGAAGTCAGGTCCCTCAAGTATGTTTATGTGTGTGGAAGAAGGTGACAATCCCAGGAGGGGATTCTGCTGCGGTGGGCCTCCTGTCTTGGATCAGGAGGGCTTTAGGTATAGGGAACAGGTTAGGTGATTTTTTGGTTGCTTTCTCCTTTTTCTTTTTGGTGGTTCTGGGGATTGAACCCAGGGACTCTCTACCACTGAGCTACTTCCCCAGACTATTTTATTTTATTTTTTAATTTTGTGAGAGGGTTTCGCTAATTTGCTCAGGTTGGACGTGATTCTACTGCCTCAGCCTTCCAAGTAGCTGGGATTACAGGCCTGTGCCACAGTGCAGGCTCAACCTCACTATCAGAGAGTCGATTTCTAGTTTCATTCCACCTCAAATTGTGGGTCTTTTACTTAGCCACAAACCGCACCCCCCCCCCTTTTTTTTAAAGCCAGAGAGTGGGCTTAGAGCACTTTTCTGAGAGCCTAGTACTCGGGGACACCTGTGACACTCCCCCAGGAGTGTGCCCAGGACTACGCCAAGCCGCACTTCAGCCACTGGGCGGAGGCGGGGTCTAGCAGGGCTGCGCCCGGAGATTCACCTGTGCGTCGAGAGTTGACTCACCTGCCCTTCCCCAGCCCTCCCCCGCCAGCTAGCTGTTCCAGGAGTCACCGCTCCTCCTCCCGCTCGGGGGTCACTGTCGGTCTGAGCGCCCACTAAATTCCGAGATGAGTAATTCTAGGGGCAGGGGCGAAAAGATATAGGTCCTCCGAGGGTCCGGGCCTGTAGTATGAGCTCTTCCCCTCGGCGCGGGCAGCGAAAGGCCAGGAAAAGCGGGCGGGGCAGCAGGGGGAGGCGCCGGGAAGAGCGTGCCGGAGGGAGGTGCCGGGAAGGGCGGGCGGGGCCCGGGCCGCGGGCGGGGGGCGGGTGCGCCGGGCGGCCCATTTCCTCCTCTGAGCCGGACAGGAGGTAGACAAAGCGGCGGCCGTCGGCTTCGCGCCTCTGGACTCCTGCTATCGTCCCGTTCGACGCAGGTAACTCTTCGCACCCCCTTTTGCGCAGACGTGAGTTCCCATCTGGGCAAGGGGCCCTTCAGGCCGGGACGCCTGAAGCCGGGCCTTGTGGTGGGCTGGCGGAGCGCAGTCTCTTGGGCGACGCTGTCTGGGATTGGGCTCCAGGCGGGTAGGGTCAGGCGTCCTGCGGGCGGCCGCTTCGCCGGGGCCTGGGCACTGTGCGTGCGGGGCCCGAGCTTTCCAGTGGTCTGGAAGTTGAGGGGCAGCGGCGGCTGGAGAAGAGACGCCGCTGGCCCGGCGCGGCCGCGGCGCTTCCTCTTGGAAAAGTTTCTCCTGTTTTCTAAACTTTGTTCCCGGGGCCTTGGCGCTTGCGCGGGTTCTTGTGGTGCGCCCCCAGCTGCCTTTCGTCTGGTGGTGCGTCCGCGCCTTGTCCCTGTGCGGGTGTGTTCCAGCAGTTGAGTTTTCCAGGGAAGTGATTGTTGTCTGGTTTTGTGGCTGCTGCTCCCCTCCCCCTCCTGGCCACGGAAACTTCCCAGTGCGCTGGACACGACGTTGGCAGGACCCGAATTCCGGCCTGGGCGAATTTGAAAGTCGAAGTTCTCCCTTTCTCTGACAGTCTCTTTGGTAAGGTGCGCCACACCCGTATGGACTTTGGCGTGTACATATCAACCTTTACTTTGAAAGTACTCAGTCGCCTTGTTCTACGTAATTGTATGTATTTCTCTCAGTCTTAGTTTTTAGAAATGGCATTAGAGAATTTGTTTTTTGACTTTTGAAGGTTTGTGTGTGTGTGTGTGTGTGTGTGCACGCGCGCGCGCGCGCCTGTGCGTGCGCTGGGGTGGAGGTGGGGAGGGAGAAAAACACGAGAAAACTGGTCAGGAAGGATGTTGACTGACTGTTTAAGCTTGGCTCGGCAGCTGTGGCTTCCCAATACTGCAGGCAGCGGTTGTCTCCAATCCCGGATTGGAACCCTGTTGTGTCCTCCTGAGTCTTTGTAACATTCGGGGGTGTGTTTTGTACGGAATTTATAATAACTTAGAAAATAAGGAAAGATATGTTAGGTTTCCCAGTAAATTTAAAACCATTTCATATTTAGGATGAAGGAAATGCTGGCGGTTTGATGAAAGGATACTTTGTACTTAGAAGTGATTTTTTTAAAGGTCATCCACGCGGTTTTAAGAAACAGGATTTGTAAAGAGTGGAGGAATCATCCATTGTCTCTGCTCAATTGTTTACCTTCTTGAATTTTTGTAAGTTAATTTCCCCCCCCCCCCCTTTTTTTTGGGAGCACACACGGTCTTTGCCCTTAAAGGGCTCACAGCATATTGGAAGAGGCACACACACAGATGTAACAGACTGCTCTAAAGCCATAACAATACTGATAAGAAACTGTGTGGGTCTAATTTTATGTAGTACTAACAGCAGAAGAAACTTGTGGAAGCTCAACAGAGAGCTGATGAGTTTATTTTGATGTCTGGAAAGGCAGATTTTGGGAGGTGGTGTATTTGAATCAGACAGAACTTGAGTTTTAAAACTTTATATGAAGGGAGAAAGTCATGAGATGCATAAGAGGGCGTGGGATATTGTGATATCACTTTCCAGGTTTTTCCTTTACTTTTGGCTACTCTTTCCTCCCTCCCCCATGTAAGTTCTATCCAGAATACCTTTGGTCTTCCACACCATTGATGTGGCATCACCTTCACTTTCATTAGTTAACATCTCATTTTACATACTGACTTAGAGATCTAAGATCAACTCTTCCCCCTAGTTGAAAATCAGTGCTCTCTGCAGTCTCTCATTAACCTTAAGTACTAATATCCAGCTGTCCATTTTGAATACAGATGTCTTCTCCTCATCATCCAGGTAGTCATCTAAGTCCCAGGGAACTCTTTGAATGTCCTACATGCTTTTCAAACTCAGCACGTCTAAAATGAGACTCTGTTCTCTTCAGGAGGCATAAACCAGATGTGGAGATTCAGAGTAACTGGCAGGGTCTTGGAATTCTTTTGAGAAAGTATCATTAGTGTAAGACATGACAGCCCTGTGTTTTGGGGGTGGTGATGGTGTGTGTGTTGGTGAAGATCTAGACAGGAATAGGATCCTCTGCAGGTGTAAAGGGCCTGAGATAGGAGAGACTTAATGTGTTTGGAGGCCTTGAGACTTGTAGCCTAGGACTCTTGGGATAGACAGAAGGCTTCACATGAGATAGCCAGGGAAGAGAGAGGCCAGGCCAAAGAGGGCCATATGTTTATTTTATTTTATTTTTTGGTACCAGAGACTGAACCCAGGGGCACTTAACCACTGAACCACATCCCAGCTCTTTTTTATTTTTTATTTTTGAGTCAGGGTCTCAGTAAGTTGCTTAGGGCCTTTGCTAAGTTGCTGAGCTGGCCTCCAACTTGGAATCATCCTGCTTCAGCCTCCCAAGTCCCTGAAATTATAGGCATGTGCCACCACCTCTGGCCCATATGTGGATTTTATTCTAAATCTGTAAGAACCATTGTAGGGAGTTTTGTGATCTAATAACCATTTTAACTTCTGTTGATGCTTAGAGAAGACTTATTTGTATGCATGGGGAATCAGGTAGTTGAGCTAGGAACTTAGATGGCAGGGAATAAAGGTGGTAGGGATAAAGGAGCAGTATTTTGGAGGAATGAAAGAGGATTTAAGTATGGATTGGATGGCTAGGTTTCTTTGTAACATTGTTTCTTCTGTGATGCAAGTTTTGTGTGTTACCCCTAACTCTCCCCCCCACCCCCATGAGCTCTTAATTAGTGTCTAGTTTTAGTTCTTTCATTTTTGGTAGCATTGTTTATTGCTTACATTTTAAGGAAAACTTTAATTGTGCTGTACCTTTTTAAGAAATTTATTTATTGTTGTAGATGGACACAATACCTTTATTATTTTTATGTGGTGCTGAGGATTGAACCCATGGCCTCACACTCTACCCCTAAGCCATAACCCCAGTCTTGTGCTGTACCTTATTAATGTCCCAGTTTGCCTTTCCTGATAGAAAGTGAGCCTCATAAGCTCCCTGAAGGCAGGAACGGATGGCCTCAGTTGTTGGGGTGGCACTTGGCAAGGAGAGAAGATTAGATTCTTGTTGAAAAAAGGAGAACCAGATATGGCGGCCCACACCAGTAACTCCAGTGATTTGGGACATTGAAGCAGGAGGATGGTAAGTTTGAGGTCAGCCTCAGCAACTTAGTAAGACTCTTTTTCAGTATAAAAAATAAAAAAGGCTAGGGATGCAGCTTAGCATGAAAGCATGGGTTCAATCCCCAGTACCAAAAACAAAACAGAAACAGAGGTCTTTTATTTTAGGGTTTAACTCCTGGGAGAACACTAGTAAGTGAGGCAACTGATTGTGGAGGGCCTGGAATATCAAATTGCTATTTTTTGTAAATTGAAAATCATCTCCAGTTCTGTTTTTCTTTTTTTCCTTCCACCTAGATATAATCTTTGATGAAATCATCTCTCTACAGTGTCCAATTTACATATCTTCCTTTTCTGTTCTTTGCTTACCCTATTTATTTTCGTATACTGGGGATTGAAGCCAGGGGTGCTCTACCATCGAGCTAGACCTCTAGCCCGTTTTACAATTTTTTTTTTCTTGTGGGAGTGTGTTTACTGGGGATTGAACTTAGGGGCACTTGACCACTGAGCCACATCCCCAGCCCTATTTTGTATTTTATTTAGAGACAGGATCTCACTAAGTTGCTTAGTGCCTTTCTTTTGCTGAGGCTGTCTTTGAGCTCTTGATCCTTCTGTCTCAGCCTCCTGAGCTGCTGGGATTATAGGTGTTTACCACTGGGCCTAATTGTTGACTTTTTAAAAAAGATTTTTTTTTAAAAGTTGTTGATGGACCTGTATTTTATTTATTTATATGTGGTGCTGAGAATCAAACCCAGTGCCTCACACATGCTAGGCAAGCACTCTGCCACTGAGCTACAACCCCAGCCCGTAGTTTGACTTTGATACTGGGTCTCACTTAGTTGCTAAGACTTGATCTTGAACTTTCGCTCTTCCCTCTTTCCCCAGTGGTGGTGATTGAACATGCAAGGTATGCAGTCTATTACTGAACTAAACCCCCTGATCCAAACTTTTGATCCTCCTTTTTCAGCCTTCCAAGTATCTAGGATAATAGAAGGCAAGAGCTACTGTGCCCCACTCTATTTTTTTTTTTTTTTAAATATTTATTTTTTAGTAATTGGCAGACACAACATCATTGTTTGTACGTGGTGCTGAGGATCGAACCTGGGCCGCACGCATGCCAGGCGAGCGCGCTACCGCTTGAGCCACATCCCCAGCCCCTGTGCCCCACTCTAAATTCTACTCCCTCCCCCGCTTTTTTTTTGATGGTGCTGGGGATTGAATCTGGGGATACTTTACCACTGAGCTACATCTTAGCCCTTTTTTTACACCTATTTTCTTTGTTTTTTGAGAACATGTGTTGGAGTCCCAATATGTTACCCAGGCTGGCCTTGAACTCCTAGGCTCTAGGGATTCACCTGTCTTCCAAACAGCTGGGACTACAGGCATGTACCACCACACCCAGCTTAACATGCTTTTTCCATTTCTTTTTGTACTAGAGATTGAACCCAGGGGTGCTTAACCACTGAGCTACATTCCTAGCCCTTTTTATTTTGAGACAGGACATCAATCACTAAGCTGCTGAGGCTGGCCTTCAACTTGCCATCCTCTTTCCTCAGTCTCCTGAGTTGCTGGGATTACAGGCATGTGCCACTGCACCCTGCAAACATGCATTTTGCATGGAAACTTTGATCACTGTCGCTGAAAATAATTTTTATCTGAAATCCTAAAATTTGCACCTGACACATGACATTCTCACTATCCTTTGTGTGTGTGTGTGTGTGTGTGTGGGGGGGGGCAAATTATATGTAACAAAATAAACCACTTGCACTCTTAAAGTGTATGCTTCAGTGGCATTAAATCCATTCACATTAAACAATAACTTCCCATTCCCAACTGTCATCCTGTTTTATATTTTTTTTAATCTC